GGCCCAATTTTGGAGGAATCAATAAATATACAAAGATTGATTAATAAGGAACACGTAGCAATAATTTTGGACATGTAGCCCTTTAGGTAAGTACGATTTTTAGCACATGAAAAAATGGATGTACAGTATATTTTGCTTAGCTGCACATCCTTCTTTGCACGAAAAACTTGTGCACCTAACCGAAAAAGGCACTTAAGCGAATTTTCTTTACTACTTCAATGAGGAAGGTATCCGAATCCCTATGAAACCAAATAATGGAGAAACACTTATCACGTAGAAAATAATGCAAGCGAAATTTTTTTTCGATTGGTATCTTATTATCTATATAACTAGAAAAATTTATAGCCATTTCCGTTGTTCTGCGATATGAGTAAAATAAATAAAAGTTTGTAAAATTAGGTAATTGTAAGCCAGTGCAGGTAAACGTAATACTTTCTTTGATAATTGATATTAGTTGGACAATTTTTAAGGCAGCTATCGCCAATGTGCAGGTATGTTGAATGCATCTATCGGAGCAGTTTCCTTATAAATGTTAAAAATAATGTCTCAGATGCGCATTTTGGGGTAGGTATCTTAAATGTGCACTTAAGCATAAAGGCAGCAAAGCAAAATATACCGTATTAACACTGTTTGTAATTTCATGTGGACCAAAAGCAAGGTGTGCAGCAAAGTGAATTTTTGGACTCGCCATTGTAAAAAGCCATGCAGAGTGCATATTTATATTTGTGGACGGTAGCCAACCACCATAAACTCCACAGCTTTTATTTGATGACTTTTGTACCATTTCCGAGAGGATGCATGATGTGGTTTCTTTGGAAACAAATATTCTATGTAAGTAAAACATAATTTAAGCTGAACTTTTAAATGTATAATAATTTTGTATTAGGTACGTAACAGCGGGGTAAGATACCGCTTGAATTAGCGCCTGGCGACCTTATCCACTGGTGCGTTACCTCATACAATGAAACCCTTTTAAGTGCTCTTTTACACTACACAATTTCGGTAAAAAAATTCTAAAAAGTCAACGGTAATTTTTAGCCACTTGAATTATTACACCAAAATTGAATGGTCTATAAAACTGTATACTCAAAAAACACTTCTGAGGAAAAAAAGTTTGAAATTATGTTGAATCTTTTTCTTAAGTGTTCTACAAAATCTTAAGCTTGAGTTTATATGGTATTTGTTAGGGAATGAACTGTATTTTAATCTATTGAAAAATCTCAAAAATTACTAAATAAATAAACATAAGTGGCAAACAAATATCATTTGGAATTCGTTACAAAATGATATGTCCAACTTTCACTTTTTAAACAATTTAATTCTTGTAAAAATGACATACCATTGCACTATATATATTTCTTTTTAATAAAGTTTTTCTTTACGTGTTTCTTTACTTGCTACGATTTTGGTTTTAAACCATGTATTCTTCATTAAATGTTGTTAATCAAGTATTTATGAAAGTTAACAAGAAGATGTTATTATGTTCGCTTAAGTACCCGCATCGAAGTACTTAAACGTGTTCTTTTAAGTACCCAACCCGCCTAAGTACCTCAAAAAGCTGACATTTTTCGTGAGGTACTTAAGCGGGTTTTACTGTACCAGCACTAAAGAGAATCAGGTACTAACAAAAATAAGTAGGTAGTGAAGTTCATGTATCTATTTACTGTAGAAACTGCTTTTGTATGTATGCCATTGCCAGCAAACTAAACCAGAAACCTCAGTATATCCAGTAAACAAACTTAGCTGTTTTTTTCACCAAATTTGGTCCCCATAAAGGACTAGTGTTGCAAGCAACGCTTCTTCGGCAATTAGGGTGATGTGCAGCTATTTAATGTGGTGAAAATTATTTAAGCACTGGAGAGATTTATTCACATGAAATTGGAGATAGGGCTGATAAATTTACTTTAAATAAATTGTGAATCTGCGAAAATATCTTTTCAGCAGATGAATATGTTTTTTAACTTTTTTCCCGAAAATTTACATACAGGCTCGAAATTATGCGAGTAACATTCAAATATCGTCGCTTGGATGGAAAATTGCCGGAAGCGTGATTTTGACAATTTGTAGTTATAGATGCAGTTATATATTTTAAAGTAAGATATTTCGATTTTTTGTTAACTGGTTTTTGGATATCTTCTTTAGTTTCCGAGTAATTGACTAAAATGTTTTCGGCTATTTGGTACAAATTGCGTTAGTATTGCTGTCGTACTAAACTAATCAAGATCTTTCAAAGAGAGTTACCTGTTCTTCTTTAGTTTCCGACATATTCAGCCTTATCATGAGTTTCATTTTCTAGAACCGGGTCACTTTTTCATTTTTCGTTTGCGTGTATTCACTACAGGTGGATGAAAAAATTGTTGGCGAAATTTTGTTCGGGCGAAACTCACGATTAGGCTGATTAGTAAAAAGTATCGTTAATTATAAAAAATTGTTATCACATTTTGGCGTATATCATTAAAACTTTCTGCAAATTTTTTGACAAATGTCGTATACGACAAAATTTTATTAAACTCATAAATGGTTGACACTAAACTAAAAAAATAAGATAATTTAAGAATTTCGTGAACTAGTACATACCATCCTCCGACACTTTGGAGAAGATCTGTAGTCGTGTTTCTGAGAAAATGCATTCCAAACTTCAATCTTGAGTTACCGAAAGTAACTTGTGACAATCTTTTATCCAGGGGACGATATAACATTTAGCTAAAATATGCATTTAAATAAGTTATAATTGTCATTATTCTCGCAGTTGGAGTATATGCCAGACGAGTAACAGGTATATACATACAAGTATACCTAAATTAGCGCGTTAAGCTTGTATATTTATCTCTCTCTAATGCATTAATTCTATATACGTCAGCACCAACGCCCGACAAAGTTATGTCTGTATTTAATAATGGCTCTATGACAAAATATTCATGAAATGTATTCGTAGATTTTTAATTACTTCATTCCATACATTAGTATTGATCTGAATGTTTTTTACTAAATACCAGGAATAAATATTTAATAAAAAACTATTTCATTTAAGCTTAACCAACTTTTAGTTGCTCGGTGCTAATTTTGGAACGCTTCATGAAATATTTTCATAGACGGTAAATGCAACCCTGGGTGCATCATTAATGAGCTGAAAAACCAAAACAAATAAAAAAATTCCATCTGAAAAACAAGTTTTCCAATTTATGCACTTTTATTTTGATTATTGCAATACAGTTTCAGCTCTTCAAACATTTTCCACATTATGCTTTTAAAGCTAGTAGTTTCCGACCCCGTTTGATGGTTTTTTTTCAGTTCTGAATTTAGGCTAGGTTTTATGGGAACTTACTGTGGGTGCATACAGACCACATTTTGTAAATGTGTACATATATATGTATATACGTCAACTGAATTGTGATATTTAATTTTATTTTATAATGAATTTGTGCTATTTTTTATGTTTACAAGATGTAGGACAATTTTTAATTTTCTTTATATATTGCATGCTTTAGTTTTAATTCTTTTTAAGTTAAGTTGTAAAGTTGAAAATAGGCCTCCTGGGGAACCGAGCACCTTAAAAAAAAATCGGTAACGCGCCTAAAAGCATACCTCACAGGTGGTGTGGAAAAGGCAAGAACAAATATAAATGGAATAATTTTCGAAATTATGAAATGGTTATTGGTATTTTCCATCTCAAAGGTGATCATTAATTTGAACGTTATTTAAGCTGCCTTTACACGGTCGATTTTTGTCGTTTAACTAAAATCTACCCGTGTAAATTGCTATTCAACCGTTAAATGTAAGCGTTTTGGCTGGTCGATATCTCAGTCAATTTTTCAATCGACAGAAATCGACCCATGTAAAGGCAACTTCAGGAATTTTTTAATTTTTATTTTTTTTTTGCTTGGGCGCCTTTTGAAGATGTACCACATTATATTTCAATTTCAATTTCAATTTATTCAATTTATGGATCAATCCTAACACAGCAAGGGTAAAACCTTATAATTAATAGTGCTAGTCACATCGGTTAACATTTTCAGTACAAATATTTTGCAAGAAGGAAACAGTAATAATAAATTAAGCAATAGTAGAAATAGATATTATACGGTACTTGGAACAAAAATAAAATAAGATAAAATATATTCAAATTACAAATCAAGTTTACGAACTAAGATGTCTCTGTAACTCACGCTTAAACATTATATTCTCGCCTTAAATACAAAAAAAAAAACAATTTCTTCAAGCCATCTTGCGTAGCAGTTTGTTGATCTTATGCTCACGGCTACCGAAATCACCAACCTCAACGTAATGATTAGCCTTCCTGCGCCAGCCTCGTGTCGATGTGNTTGATGTGTTGAGCTTGAATAGCAACAGGAAGTTGGAGGCTTTCTTGAAGTCGGTTCCAACAGTAAATATTTCGTGCGCCAAATAATCTACGCACTGAATTTCGTGCGCTTTGCGAAATTTGCGTTCGATCACAAAGCTGTCAGAGATTGGGACACGTTGATGGTTGTGCTTGACAATTCCACGTTTGTACATCAATTCACGAACTGATTTAAGATTTGGATAACCCCATATAAGGTTCGGCATACGTGGCATATTAATGGTTGCCTTGTTCAATTTGATGAACAAACCGTGGTTAATGTGGCGAAAACGAAACAACAGTAAAACTTTACGCACTTTTGGTGCAACTTTTTTGATACCGCGGATACGGATCACAAAAGCCAATTTGGATTTTTTAGGCACGTAGGCGTTTTTTGCCACACGGCGCAACTTCATCTCACGGCGTCCATCACGAAGTTTTCTTGTTTGATATTTCTCAGCATGCACCAAGTTTTCACATTTACGGAGTGTAATCGCAGCAGAGCGCTTTAGTTTACGTTTGATCAGGGTAGCAATTTGCTGACCTGCTTCTTGCTGAACTTCAGCTTTGACTCAGGGACAGGAGGCAGCTTACTGGAAGGTTGTCTACCCTTTGCTTGCGGTTTCTTACCGGCCGTGATGGCAGTCCTCTTAACTTGTTACTTAGCACGTTGAAAAGGCGAAAAAAAGTTCGCCAAATGTTTGGAGCACATCGTAAATGAGCCACTCGATTTATAACATTTCTATAAACAATTTAATTAAATACTTTTTATACATAGATATGCTGCAACCATGCACTTACTTTCCCAAATTCCATCCTGCTTATCGGCATAATTTTCCAAATATGCCTGCTACTTCATTACTAATAACTCAAACTGCGCCTTCTTTGTTGCCTCAACATATCCTAAAAAGCAGTTAGCTAAAAATTAGCAAATATAATACTCCCTTTGTTTTGTTTCGTTGTCAAATTTCTGAGAAATGTGAATTCACCACGATTCGATACAGAAAGAACAATGACCAGGGATGTAATTTTAAGTAAATCTATTATTCAGTGGCAATGCGCAGAGCGTTCGGGTCAGCAATATTAATTTGTATCAAATATAACATTAAACGGTGGTTCTAATACATTTTTTGATATTATTAACCAGAGTACATACATTATATGGTATTTCTTTCAAAATTAATGTACTATATGAACTTTTTTTTCAAATATTTCTTAAGTTTCTTTCATGAGTGCTGAAAAGCAACCATGCGTGTAAGAAATTGTGTGCTACCTAAAATTTCACCTCTGGAAACTTTATCCCCATAAAGGACTTCACCACAGTTTTTTTACTGGATATACTGAGGCACAAAGCTCGATTTAGTGTTTAATGCATCTTCTCGCCGGCAGAACTGCTTCCACTTTTTCGCCAGGTTTGCGTCCGTAGGAAACGAAAAAAAATAAATAACTTATATCGCACGCATTCCTTTTGTTTTCACTATTACACTTTGCCACTGCACACTTCGTTTTGCTTTGTAATGTCTCAATAATTGTTTAAAACCACGCAGAATTATTAACACACAAATATTAAAATCGTAATTTGGTTTTTTGTATGCTTACAATCAACAATTGCACCAAGATGACGTCACGCACACAGCTGATTCTGTCAAAATCACAAAGAGCGGATTAGCGGTACCACGATTTGCGCAATCTCTATTTCTCTCAATCATGCATGTGCATCAACGTACACCCACACACACATACATATGTATATACATTATACACCTGTACACACAAACATGTAAATATAGACTAAGTAAAAGATGTATTGTTAGACTTAGGAAATTACTTATAAATAAACGCTTCACAGATGGTGGAGTCAGTTATACGTAGACCTCTGAAAATATTCACCGTAGTTATAGAGCATATGTAGTTCCGTGTACTATTTGGCGGTGCATCTCTACTTATATTACTTATGGATAAATTTGTAAAAAGATTAATTCTTAAGTTCATGTTATAATTTTAAACGCTTGCTAGTCAAAGGAAAAACGTTTTGAATTCTTTGTTTTTATAAGTATTAAGTTTTTTAGTTAATGTATATAATCATGAACAAAAAAATATTTTCATTCATTGGAGATAAGTCCTGTGGATTGATTTATGCAAAAAAATAGTCAGAATTTGTTGAGTTGATCGTACTTTAGATCTACGATATGTTTGATATACTTGTACCCGTCAATTAAAGCAGCTTAAGCAAAAAATTAGCAAGTCAATCGTTAAAATATTATTTTTGAACCAGATGAAATATCGCTTTAAAGTGGTGGTGGGCACGGTTGCCACTTCATCAAAATTTTGTGTACCACAATATCCAAGTAAAAAGGCCCAAAATAAAACAAAATGTACCCTTTTTTGCCGTCCATAAAAAAATATATATATATTTTACTAGCTTACCCGTGCGAATTATTCGCATCCAATACTTTGGAATAAAGTTAAAATAAATCAACTCAGGAGCTCGTCTCAGTCACTTCAGATGTGTAATTTTTACTGAAACCTTTGAAAACAACACTGTATAAAGTTGTGTTTAAATTTGCACATAGTAAGATAGGTAATCAGTTTCCGCTCTTACTGAATACAAATTTACACTCCGTGTTAATTAAACACTGTTGTTTACTTCTAATTATATATATGTATATGTGGCGTAGAATAAATTACAAAATGTTTAAAATTTGCTCTAAAAAATCTTTGTTTAAATTTGTGCATATAAAGAGAGATAACCAGTTTCCCCTCCTAATGTGTGCAAATTTATAACCCGCGTAATAAAATTAACGAATGGTTCCGTGCGAAGAAGTGGAAAATTTTTGACTGCCATTCACCTGGGAGTGGCCAGAAGCGATTCTTGTGCGTACGGTTCAAATCGCAGCTCACAACGTCCGGATATTTATATCCACGTATCCTCCGGGTAGCAACCAAACACCCGTTTGGGAGTGAGATACGTTAAAACCCCGCCCAATGAAAAATAAAAAAAAGACACGGATGAGACTCCCTTTTTCTGATGACGACCACGGAAAACGTATAAAGGACTATGATTTAAGGGTATGCACCTGGAATATCCGGACCCTTAATGGGGAAGGTGCCTCTGCCCGGCTGGTTGATGTCCTCGGGAAGACAAAGGCTGACATCACCGCCATCCAAGAAATGCGATGGACGGGGCAAGGTAAAGTAAGCGTGAAGCCTTGCGACGTCTACTACAGTTGCCACGTAAAGGAGCGCAAATTCGGTGTTGGATTCGTGGTAGGAGAGAGACTCCGTCGCCGAGTACTGGCGTTCACCCCGGTGGACGAACGTCTAGCCACAATCCGCATCAAAGCTAGATTCTTCAACATCTCGCTCATCTGCGCCCATGCCCCGACGGAAGAGAAGGATGAGGCGTCCAAGGATCTCTTCTATGAGCGCTTGGAATGTACATATGAGCGCTGCCCCCGACACGATGTCAACATCGTGCTCGGCGATTTTAATGCCAAGGTGGGCAAGGAAGGAATCTTTGGCGCCAATGTCGGAAAATTCAGCCTCCACGACGAATCGTTCGATAACGGACTGAGGCTGATCGACTTCGCCGGGGCCCGAAACATGGTAATATGTAGTACTGGCTTCCAGCATAAGAACATCCACCAAGCTACATGGCTGTCTCCAGATCGAAAAACGAGAAACCAAATCGATCATGTTGTGATAGACGGAAGGCATGCTTCAAGCGTTTTGGACGTACGTACACTCCGAGGGCCAAACATCGACTCGGACCACTATCTTGTTGTAGCCAAGATACGCACCCGCCTCTGTGCAGCAAAAAATGTGCGCCCAACAATGCAAGGAAAGCTTAACGTCGAAAAGCTGCAATCACAACAGACGGCCAATTTATTCGCCACTCGACTCACACACCTGCTCTCTGAGAGCACTCTTCAACAATCCGACGTACGCGAGCAGTGGAACCACATTTCCCGATCATTAAGTACCGCCGCCGAAGAAGTAGTTGGATTTCAGCGAGCCCGAAAGAACAACTGGTACGATGAGGAATGTCAAGAAGCCGCAGAGAAAAAAGACGCCGCCTACAGGGCCGCGCTGCGACCGGGCGCAACGCGAGCCATGTGGGACCGTTATAGGGAACTGAAGAAGGAAGCGAGACGTATTTGCCGCAATAAGAAGAGAGAGGCCGAAATACGTGAGTGCGAAGAGCTTGAGATGCTGGCCGACAGGAAGAACGCCCGAAAATTCTACCAGAGGGTTAGGCGACTTACGGAAGGTTTCAAGACCGGGGCGAACTCCTGTAAGAACAACAATGGCGACCTAGTGACCGATATCTAGAATATACTTTAATTGTGGAGGGAACACTTTTATAACCTACTGAATGGTAGCAGCGCTGAAAGTAGTGAGGAAGACGAACCCGAGTCCCCAGTCGATGATGATGGAGTAGCTGTCCCACCGCCTGACTATGACGAGGTACGAGTAGCGATTACGCGGCTGAAAAACAACAAAGCTGCTGGAGCTGATGCCTGCCAGCCGAGCTATTCAAGTACGACGGCCAGGAGCTGATGAGGTGCATGCATCAGCTCATATGCAGAATATATTCAGATGAATGCATGCCTGACGACTGGAATTTAAGTGTGCTCTGCCCAATCCACAAGAAAGGTACCCCGCCATACGCGCCAACTACCGCGGAATCAGCCTTCTAAGCATAGGTTATAAGGTCTTATCGAGTGTAATGTGCGAAAGACTGAACGACGAGCTGATTGGACCTTATCAGCCTGGAAAATCAATCAGAGATCAGGTATTCACAATACGCCAAATCTTGGATAAGACCCGCGAGAACAGGATGGACACACACCATCTATTTGTCGATTTCAAAGCCGCTTTCGACAGCACGAAAAGAAGTTGCCTTTATGCCGCGATGTCTGGATTTGGTATCCCCGCGAATCTAATACGGCTGGGTAAAACGACGTTGAGAAATATCACCAGCTCCGTCAGAATAGGGAAGGACCTCTCCGAGCCGTTTGATACCAAACGAGGTTTCAGACAAGGGGACTCCCTTTCGTGTGATTTCTTTAATCTTATGTTGGAGAAGATAATAAGAGCCGCAGAACTGAACCGCTCAGGCACAATACTTTATAAGAGCGTACAATTGCTGGCGTATGCCTACGACATCGATATTATCGGTAAAAACAAGGGCTAGAGAAGCAATGCCTTCTCGGGATTGGATAGAGAAGCAAAGCGAATGGGTCTGGTGGTGAACGAGGACAAAACGAAGTATCTCCTGTCAGCACACAAACAGTCAGAGCATACGCGTCTTGGCACCCACGTCACTGTTGACAGTTACAAGTTTGAAAAAGTAGACGACTTCGTTTATTTGGGAACCAGCATTAACACCAATAATAATGTCAGCCTTGAAATCCAACGGAGAATCACTCTTGCCAACAAGTGCTACTTTGGGCTGAGTAGGCAATTGAGAAGTAAAGTCCTCTCTCGTCGTACAAAGATCACACTCTATAAGTCACTCATCATGCCTGTGCTGGTGTATGGCGCGGAAGCATGGACAATGAAAGCATCTGATGAGGCGGCTCTTGGAGTTTTCAAGAGAAAGATTCTGCGAAAGATTTACAGACCTTTACGCGTTGGTGATGGCGAATATCGCAGACGATTTAACGATGAGCTGTATGAGCTTTACAACGATATAGACATAGTGCAGCGAATTAAAATTCAGCGGCTCCGCTGGTTTGGCCATGTCGTTCGAATGGACAAAAACGCTCCTCCTCTGAAAATATTCAACGCGGGCCACGATGCTGGTAACAGAGGAATAGGAAGGCATCCTCTGCGTTGGAAAGACCAGGTGCAGAAGGACGTGGCTTCACTTGGCATTTCCAATTGGC